CGCTTGGGAAGCATTCAACTTGTGATTTTGTGATACGAAATCCAGCATAGAGATACTGTGACATACTGTACTTTTGTGTCAATAATAATAATAATAATAATAATAATAAGCCAGTCAAGGGGGTCCCAGTGGTGATCGGCACACTGGGTGCAGTGCCTCAAGACCTTGGCCTGCACTTAAGCACAATCAGCGTTGACAAGATTACAATCTGCCAGCTGCAAAAGACCACCCTGCTGGGATATGCACGCATTATTCGCCAATGCATCAAACAGTCCTAGACACTTGGGAAGGGTCCAATGTGTGATTGATTTATTTAAAACATTTATATTCCACCTTTCTCACCCCAAAGGGGACTCAGGGAGAAGCACAACATATAAATGGCAAACATTCAATGCCGAAACATACTACACCATACACATACTATTGCTGTAATTTGTTGTTTGGGCTTGGCCCCATGTAAGCCACCCCGAGTCCCCATCAGGGAGATGACGACGAGGTATAAATAAAGATTATTATTATTATTATTATTATTATTATTATTATTATTATTATTATTATTCAAAAGCACTAAAATCACTTATCTTAATGGCAAAATCCTCAAGTTAAACAGCATTGTGATCTTGTTTACTGTGGACTCATCTTGTGTTTCTAATAATAATAATAATAATAATAATAATAATAATAATAATAATAATAAATAATAGAGGATTTAAAGATCAAACTGCAAAGACTCTGGCACAGACCAGTCCCAGTGGTGATCGGCATGCTGGGTGCAGTGCCTAAAGACCTTGGTCTGCACTTAAACACAATCAGCGCTGACAAGATTACCACCTGTCAGCTGCAAAAGGCCACCCTATTTGGACCTGCACTTATTATTTGCCAATACATCACAGTCCAACGTGGGAAGTGTCCAACGTGTGATCCAATTCAACAGCCATGTGGACTCATCTTGTTGTGTTTCAAATAATAATAATAATAATAATAATAATAATAATAATAATAATGTGTGAGGAGAATTGGGTCCACATTGCCTGCCCTGCCCCATAGGAAGGTGACTGTGCCCAGGAGGGACCACAGGGACCCTCCCAAGGCATGGAAGATGGGGGTGGGTGGGTGTGGCACTGCCCAGCCCTTGGGTCCCATGGTAGGAGCCACTGCAACGGCCTCTGCTTGGCATTGGGCCCCCCAGGAGGAGTGGGCAGACCCCAGAGACACACACATGCTCCACGGCCCCCGAAGAGACCCTACCTTCCCCAAGTGGTGCAGGCTCCTACTTTGGAAGGTTGTAAACAGAGGCTGGATGGCCATCTGTCGGGGTTGCTTTGAATGCAATTTCCCTGCTTCTTGGCAGAATGGGGTTGGATTGGATGGCCATGAGGTCTCTTCCAACTCTAGGATTCTCGGATTCTCAGTGAGTCACATTGGGCACCTCAGAGGCAACGTGTGGCACGTCTTCCCGTCATAGGGCTCGTGTCATCTGCTCTAATCACCCCAAACAAGCAGAAGGAAAGGAAGGAAATTTGGCTACTAATGGGGCAAATTGGGCCCCTGGAGGCAGGTGGTGATTGGGGCTCCCAAGCGGAAGGGCCCCATTGGGCTCCTGGTGGTGTGTGTCACCTCTGGTGGTGAAGCCGCATCCGGCGGAGGCCTCTTCTGGCCTTCCCTCCCTCCTTCCTTGCCTGGGGGGCCCTGGCACCGGATGGACGGATGGGTGGCCAGCTGGGCAGGCGGCCATGGGGCTGGCTCACTGCCTTCCGGCTGGCCGCTGCGCCTCTTTTTCCCCAAACAAGATAATTATGGCCCAGAGAGTCAACCGCCGCGGCTGAGCCAAGCGGGAGGGCAAGCTGAGCTGGTTTGGTGGCTGGGTGGCCCCAGGAGGGGGGGGGAGGGGGACAGGAAGGGGCCAAGTAGGGAGCCCAGAACTCTGCCTGCCTGGGGATGATGGGAGGGTGGGTCCTGCCTGCAGCAAAGCCCCTCTGTGACAGGAAAGGGATCCGCCTGCCCCACTTGGCTCCCTTGCAGCTCAAGGCCCCTCCAGCTCTGAAGGGGATCTACATGGGCCCCTTTCTTTAGGCCTTGCCTCAATGGCTACCTGGAATGTCCCCTTCCTGGTGGGTGGCCGGCTCAGGCACGCTGGTGGCCCTTGGCCCCTGGGGGCCCCCTACCAAGGATGTGACTCCCAACACATGGCTGACCCACCAACGTTTGAAGTGTCACCACATCCGACCAGGAGCCCATTCCTCTTTCCAGACTCATCCAGCCTAGCCACACACACACAGCCAGCCACACGCTTGCACACGCACATGCTTGCACACACACCCCCAGGGCAGCAATTAAAGCAGACAGAGTAATGGGTGAGCCGGTGAGGTGCAGGGCAGCGTCTTCCAGGAGCCTCCTCCATGCACACTGCAGGTTTCCCGGTGAGGGCTGGAAGAGCAGAGGCAGGGCCATGGACACGAGTGGCAGGAGCACCTGGCCCAAGTGGACTCCTCCAGTGCCAGTGAACAGCTCTCACAGTCAGAAAGGTCTTGCTAAGGAGATTCCACCTGAACTGTGAGAAGAGCTGTTCAGCAGTGGAACTCTCTTCCCCGGACTGTGGTGGAGGCTCCTTCTTTGGAGGCTTTGAAGCAGAGGCTGGGTGGCCATCTGTTGGGGGTGCTCTGAATGTGATTTTCCTGCTTCTTGGCAGAATGGGGTTGGACTGGATGACCCACCAGCTCTCTTCCAACTCTAGGATTCTACATTCAGCAGTGGAACTCTCTGCCCCCGAGTGTGGTGGAGGCTCCTTCTTTGGAGGCTTTGAAGCAGAGGCTGGGTGGCCATCTGTTGGGGGTGCTTTGAACGAGATTTTCCTGCTTCTTGGCAGAATGGGGTGGACTAGATGGCCCACCAGGTATCTTCCAACTCTAGGATACTATGTTCAGCAGTGGAACTCTCTGCCCTGAAGTGTGATGGAGGCTACTTCTTTGGAGGCTTTGAAGCAGAGGCTGGGTGGCCATCTGTCAAGGGTGCTTTGAACGCGATTTTCCTGCTTCTTGGCAGAATGGGGTTGGACTGGATGACCCACCAGCCCTCTTCCAACTCTAGGATTCTAGGGTTCTACATTCAGCAGTGGAACTCTCTGCCCTGAAGTGTGGTGGAGGCTCTTTCTTTGGAGGCTTTGAAGCAGAGGCTGGGTGGCCATCTGTCAGGGGTGCTTTGAATGCGATTTTCCTGCTTGGCAGAATGGGGTTGGACTAGATGGCCCACCAGGTCTCTTCCAACTCTAGGATTCTAGGATTTTTTGTCGACTGAGGGAGAGCCCCCCCCCCCCCACCGACGGAGGGAGAACCCCCCAGGGCAGCCCTGGACACCAGCTCAGACCAAGTCTGCCCAGATCTGGGGAGGAGGAAGGCCTCTCTCCGGCTCCCAGCACCACACAGACCTTCCAAGGGAGCAAAAGGTGGGAGCAAGCCTCACCACAGAGCTCCAGTGCGCTGTCCTTCTGCTGCTGCTGGACATTTGTCCAGGGGCCAGGCAAAGAGTGATGGGTGGGTCGTGGTGGGCCTGAGTGAGGCACCTGGGGTCTTAGGATTTGAGGCTACCTGCAGGGAGAAAGGGAGGGAGAAGCCTCCAGGAAAGGTCTTTTGCCACCACTCTCTTCAATGTCTTCATTTCCTGCTTTTTATGCATTTCCGGCCTCTCCCCTCAGGATGGGTCCCAGGGCAGGTCGTGGGGTCCCCAGTGTTGCCCATCAGCCAAAAAGAGGGGAGAGGGCTCTGCTGGGAGCACCCTGCCTTCTGGTCCACTTGTCATAAATAACTTTTCCCACACCGGAAAAGAACATCCCACTTCCGACACCAATTATGTCATGAATGGCTTTTCAGTGACTTTGAAGCATAGGTTCTTCTTATTGCAATTTCCAGTGTGAGAAAGTATATCAAATTACAGAAAAACATTTAGACAAAGAATGACCTTGGACAGACAGACAGACAGATTCTATGCAACTACATTGGATTCACAAGTTCATGGCTAACAAATAAACAAAGGGGAATTACATTTCCACTCAGTATTCACACACATGTACACACATTCATCCTCAGGGATTCAAATATTACTATATCATTTTCTCCCTCCTTGGAGAAGCACCTCTTAGGCCAGGCCCTGCTTTCCTGCAGACTTTCCAATACACAGTTCCAAAACTTCCAAACTTCCAAACTCCAAAATGCATCCTTTTCCTAAGCACAATGCCAAGGACCAGACCTCTGTTTTCCCTACAGCAGAACCAGACTCCCTGAACAAAATCCAAGACTCCAAAAGTACACTTCTTCCTCTTCCCTTGAGAAAGAAGCCCCAAAATGACCAGACTGCTCCCATGCAGATCTGTCACTCTCCATAGGGACACTATCTCTCTCCTTCCTATGGAGCAGAGCATGGCGGGTGGAACAGACTCCTCAGGTCTGCCACACTTTGAGCATTATTAGACTGAGTCTTTTATAGGAATATTCTGTTAATGTCGTCCCAAAGTTGTAAATGAATGATAGACGTCTTCCATCCTGGATCCATCTCAGTTTCCTGGCCAATGTTGATCTTTTTGATCGGTGTTGATCTCATGTTGACTTCCTTCTTAACTTTGTAAACATTTCTGTTATCACTTTCCCAGTTCTTACCAGAGTTTACTTTTCAGTTCTTATTAGCAACTTTTTAATTACAGTCCAGCAAGAAGGTAGTTAGTCATTGCAGGCCTTAATATTATACTGGTGTCTCCAAAATTATTAGCTCCATCCATTCTTCCATTCATTCCCACACATCATATTAAATCCACATTTCTAAAATCTGCACATTAAATTTTTGTGACACACTGGGGGGCTCCCAGAAGAACCCCTCACCTGTTCTCTGAGTGGTCCTGTCTCTACCCAGCATGGTGCATGGGCAGATCTTCCAGGCTGAAGGATGTTGGATGCTGCTGCTGCCCTCCTAGTGTGACGGTGCCTAACAACCTCTCTTTCTCTCCTCCTCAGGAAACCCCCCGCTGGCTGAGGAGAGTACCCCCCAAAGACCCTCAAGAAGACAACTGCCACCTCCGCGCCATGCCTCAGGATAAGCGCGCATCCGCGCGGGACCCCACAGAGGCTGGGCCCCCAATTATGCAGGTGCGGGAGGAGCCCCGCTGGCCGCTGCCCCCACTGGCGGATCCTGAGAAGGAGCAGGTGATTGCGGGGGTGCTGAAGGAGCCCGGCCGGGAGCGGCTGAGCATCCACCAGGCCACGCAACGGGGACTCCTGACCCACGGGACGGGCCTGGCCCTGCTGGAGCATCAGGCAGCCTCCGGGTACATCGTGGACATGGCCAAAGGCCGGCTGCTTTCCGTCCGGGACGCGGCCAACGCTGGTCTCCTGGACCGGGAGCTCTACAACACGCTGCTGGTGGCCGAGAAGGCCGTGACGGGCTACACCGACCCCTACACGGGCTGTAAGCTCTCCCTCTTCCAGGCCATGCGCAAGGGTCTACTGGTCAAGGAGCACGCCCTCCGGCTGCTGGAGGCCCAGGCGGCCACAGGGGGGCTCATCCACCCACTGCACAGCCACCGCCTGCCCCCCGAGGTGGCCTATCGTTGGGGCTACCTGGACGCCGAGACCTTCCGGCTGCTCTCCGACCCGGCCGGCCACACCAAGCGCTGCTTCGACCCCAACGCCCGGGAGAACCTCTCCTACCGGCAGCTGCTCCCGCGGTGCCTTCCGGATCCCAAGTCAGGCCTCCTGATACTCCCGGTGGCCGACAAGGGGACCGTCCACCTGGACGAGGGCCAGCGCCGGTGCCTGAAGGCGGCAGTCACGCGAGTCCCTGGGGGGCTCTTCGGGAGCAGCGAGGTTGCCCTGTGGGATGTGCTCTTCTCCCGCTACATCCAGCGCCACAAGCGTCAAGAGCTCTTGCGCCAGTACAAGGCTGGGATGTTGACCCTGCCAGACCTGGCCCAGATCCTGGCTGCCATGGTGGCCGAGGCCGAGGCTGGGAACAGGGAGGGCGGACCACCTGCGCCAGAGCGGGAGAAGAGCAAGCCGAGGCGCAAGGGGACAGAGAAGGCCCTGAAGGCCCGGGCGACTACTGTCCCGGCGGGTGAGTTCCACGGGCGGAAGGTCTCCGTGTGGGACCTCCTCCACTCCAAGTATGTCCCCAAGAGGAAGAGGAAGGAGCTCTTGCAGCTCTACAAATCCGGCGTCCTCACCGTGGACCAGATGGAGACCGTGGTCACGGCCATTGTGGCCAAAATAGAGGAAGAGAAGGCTGAGGCAGTCATGGCCGCTGTGGCAGCAAGCACTAGCCGGGAGGCGGGGGTCAGCATCCTCCCCGGGGAAGACCAGCTGCGGCGGTCCTTGCGGATGCTGCAGGTCCCAGTGGCCTTTGGGGAGTTTGGCGAGGAGAGCGTTCCGGCCCTTGACCTGCTCTACTCCAAGCATTTCCCACAGGAGAAGCGGGAAGAGCTGGTGGAGCTGTACAGGACAGGGGTCTTGAGCCACGGTCAGATGGCGGACGCCATTCGCACCACATTAGAGAGGGAGGCCGGGCACAGGAAGTCTTTCCTGAGGAGAATCAAGAACCGTAGCCAAGCGGCTTCCCGGTCCAGGGAGCTACCCCTTGAGGCCAGCCCTCCTATTGGTCATCCTTCGGATGCGCTGCTGAAGGCCAAGATCATCACCCTTCAAGCTGGAGAGCTGCAGGGGCAGCAGATGTCCCTCTGGGACCTCCTCTTCTCTCAGTATCTGACCAGGGAGAAGGCGGAAGAGCTGCTCCAGAAGCACCGTGACGGGAAGTTCAGCGCCTCGGAGCTGGCCTCCATGCTGACCATCCTGGTGGCACTCCACAACCTCTTCCACTCCCTGGAGCAGACACCCACCGGCCGCAGTGAAGGGCGTCCCACAGCCCATGAGGCGCCCGGCCCGCTCCCGAATCCCTCCGTCGAGGAGAAGAAAGATGATGACGATGACGACGACGATGATGATGACGACGATGAGGATGACGACGACAAGGAGGAGCAAGAGGAGGAGGACAAGAAAAAGGACGCCGTCTTGAAGGCCAGAATGGTGCAAATGGCTGTGGGCGATTTCCGCGGGCGGAAGGTCTCTGTCTGGGACTTGCTCTACTCCAGGTACTTCCCAGAGAAGAAGAGGAAGGAGGTCTTGAAGCTCTACAGGATTGGGATCCTCACGGCCGACCAGGTGGAGACGGTGGCCACAGCAGTTGTGACCAGGGTGGCCGAAGAGGAGGCCAAGGCCGGCCGGAGCCCATCCGCGGGGAGCCCGGAGGGAGGGGAGGTCCCTGAGGGCACGAGGTGTGGCTCTGTCTGGGAGCTGCTCTTCTCCCCTGAGGTCCCTGAGGCCAAGCGCCAAGACCTCCTGGCCAGGTACGTCACGGGAGCCCTCAGCGGGCCGGAGACCGCCTCCATCCTGGGCGCCCTTGTCCTGGAGTCCCGCAAGCAGCGCAGCTGCCCCTGCCTCCCACACCTCTTGACCCCCTGGCACCTGGAGGGACCTTCCGGTCTGACCTCTGGGCCCCGGGGGGCCTCCGTGCACGACCTCCTCCTGGCTGCCGAGCAGGAGGCACACAACGCCGCCGCCGGACGGGTGACCCTCAGCGAGATCACCGTAACCACCACCACTGTGGTCCAGGGGCCGGAGCAGAAGGCGGGCTAGCCTCGTAGTTGTGGTCCCAGCAGAGCCTGCATTGTGGCCCCCATTGAAGCCCCCTTCGGAGACGGGGGCGAAGGGGGCCAGGAAGGCTGGAATGGGGCTGCCTGACCCCCTCCCTTCCTCAACTGGACAGGCTGGCGCCCATCTTCCCTTCTGGCAGGGAATGCCAAGTCACCCCTTCCGCTTGCAGAACGAGGAGGAGGAGGACCCCCATGAACCCTCTCTCGCAAGGCCTGGGCCTGTCCCTCATGGGCGTCCACAACCAGCACCTGCCAAATGAAGGGGTCCTTGGACTGCTCTGAAAGGGTGCCCCCTCCTGATGCAGTGACTTGTGAGAAGCCGGGGGGAGCCACCTCACCAGGCCCCAAGGTGGCCCCAGACTAATGGAGGGGTCCCCAACCCACAATCCCCCTCCCACACCTGTTGCAAGCCTTCTGAGGATGGCCCTGTCCACTGTGAAAAGCCTGAGAGCCTTGACAAAGGCCAGACCGAGTGGGGTTGCTCTCAGACCTTTGGGGTGGGGGTGGCCTTCACGGGTGAGTTTGCTCCTCTGTAATCCATGGCAATAAAGGGATTTATGGAGAGCCTGCCTGTTGAACTGTTCCTTCCGCAGCTGCCTGGGGGAGAGGGGGGGCATTATATGTGTGTAAGTGTGTTCTTCCTGGGGAGTGGTTCCTCCCAGGGCCCCCCCTTCCTCTTTCCCCCCCTTGGGGTCCCTGCTCCACGGAGTGTGGCGCTGCCCTTGTTCCATTCAGTCCCTGTGGGGCTCTTGTCCATCTTTTATTTACAGCATTTCTACCCCGCTCTTCTCACCCGCGCAGGAGGACTCAGAGCGGCTAACAATGGCAAAGGTTCGATGCCGCAATAATTACAATTATAATAACAAGATAAAAACATACAATACAATAAATTAAAATGACATTGTTTAAACAATCATAAAGCCTTTTCCATTACAACAATCATATGGTCTGATTCAATGTTCGGGAGCAGTTAAATCCATTAGCCAAAAGCCTGGTTCCACAACCACGTCTTCAGTTTTCTTTTGAATGAAAGGAGGGAGGGTGCCGATCTGATTTCACTGGGGAGTGAATTCCACAGGCAGGAGGCCACCATCGAGAAGGCTCTGTCCCTTGTCCTCACCAGCCGTGTTTGCGAAGCTGGTGGGACTGAGAGCAGGGCCTCCCGGGTGGATCTTAGACTACGAGGTGGAACGTAGAGGGAGATACGTTCGGACAAGTAAGCTGGGCCGGAGTCGTATAGGGCTTTATAGGCTAAGACCAGCACTTTGAATTGTGTTCGGAAATGGACCAGCAGCCAGTGGAGTCGACATAACAGGGGGTGGTATGCTCCCTGTATGATGCTCCAGTGAGCATTCTAGCTGCTGCCCGTTGGACTAGTTGAAGTTTCTGAACAGTCTTCAAAGGCAACCCCACGTAGAGTGTGTTGCAGTAATCTATTCAGGATGTAACCAGAGGAAGGACCACTGTGGCCAGACCAGACTTCCCAATGGCTCAGCGATGAGTCGCCCCTGGGCTGAGAATTGCGGTATATAAGCGCAGTAAATAAATAAAATAAATAAATAATAAATGAGTCCAGGATCCCTCCCAAGCTGCGAACCTGTGCCTTCAGGGGGAGTGTGACCCCGTCCAACACAGGCTGTAACCCTATGCCCTGTTCGGCCTTGTGACTGACCAGGAGGACCTCTGTCTTGTCTTATTGCAATGTGTCACACAAGTTTTTTCCCTGGGTTATCAATGCCATTTCCTACTTGGCTCTATCATAAAAACATGGAGAGTGTTGTATTAAACTGCCCAAACTTTGTTTCTGAGGGAGGGAGGGAGGGAGGGAGGGAGGGGCATCATCCTGCATTAGCACATCTGGCTCTAGTTTATCAATGAATATCTGATGTCAAACATGAATTTGGGGGGCCCCATCAAGGCAGAGACCAGCCAGACCCAAAAAGAGGATCCAGGACACCTGGCAAGACAGCAAGCACCCAAAAAGATTTTTCCCTATTTTTTCCCCAAATAAAGTCTCACCAAGTTGAAGGAAAGCCACCGAAAGGTTTATTTCATTCCAGCTGGAACGGATGACAACTGCAATAATTTGCCCAGGAGCCGACGTAACCTGTCGGGCAAAGAAATACAATATTTATACAAAATACAGAGCTGTCAAATTAAAATGGGGTCGGGGGTCCCAGGAGGTAACCACAAGGGACTTTCCGGGGGTTGTCAGGCTTCCAGGTCGGAGGCGTTGCACATGAAATGGAGGCACGAACATCATTGTTGTGTGGAGCCATGGAAAGAAGCCTGCTGGTCCCAACATGAGTTTTTTTTCCACAAAAGGTGGGTTCCCAGGGCGCAGGGATCAGTTCAGCAGAAAGCAAGATAGCAGTTAGAATTAGAATCCTAGAATCATAGAGTTGGAAGAAACCTCCATTCAAATCACCCCTGACAGATGGCCATCCAACCTCTGTTTAAAAGCTTCCAAAGAAGGAGCCTCCACCACACTCCGGGGCAGAGAGTTCCACTGCTGAACAGCTCTCACAGTCAGGAAGTTCTTCCTCATGTTCAGATGGAATCTCCTCTTGTAGTTTGAAGCCATTGTTCCATTGCGTCCTAGTCTCCAGGGAAGCAGAAAACAAGCTTGCTCCCTCCTCCCTGTGACTTCCTCTCACATATTTATACATGGCTATCATGTCCCCTCTCAGCCTTCTCTTCTTCAGGCTAAACATGCCCAGCTCCTTAAGCCGCTCCTCATAGGGCTTGTTCTCCAGACCCTTGATCATTTGTAGTTGCCCTCCTCTGGACACATTCCAGCTTGTCAATATCTCTCTTGAATTGTGGTGCCCAGAATTGGACACAATATTCCAGGTGTGGTCTAACCAAGGTGGAATAGAGCATGGGTAGCATGACTTCCCTAGATCCAGACACTATGCTCCTATTGATGCAGGCCAAAATCCCATTGGCTTTTTTTGCTGCCACATCACATTGTTGGTTCATGTTCAACTTGTTGTCCACGAGGACTCCAGGATCTTTTTCACACGTACTGCTCTCGAGCCAGGCCTCATCGTTCCCCATTCTGTCTCTTTGCATTTCATTGTTTTCTGTCTAAGTGGAGTATCTTACATTTGCCACTGTTCAACTTCATTTTGTTAGTTTTGGCCCATCTCTCTAATATTAGCCCAGGAAAAGGATGGAACTGGTTTCGAGTTGATCGGTTGACCCGCGGATACGGGGGCCTGGTGGGTCTCCATATCTGCGGTTCAAAGGAATGCGGTTTCAGCCTCCCTGGGATGCTGCGGAAGCATCTTGGGTGAGCCAGCAGGGATCTGAGGCTCGGAAAAGGAAAGGTTCATGCTAGTTAATGCTTGAGTCAGTAAAAGGACACAACGTATCACTATGAAGAGGAAAAGTTAGAAGAAAAGATACTTTTTTTATTGAGGGATGGTTACATTGAAACAGGGAGTTCTTGCAGAGAAAGAAGAAAGGTTTCTGTACTGGAGCCACAGTCCCTTCGTGCTCTTGAAGAGCCATGCTCTCAGGAACTGCGGAACTCCCTCCTGTGTGGTCAGATCAGTTTGAAGGTGGGAGCCTGCGAGTTCACCCTCATACCTCATCATAGAGCCTGAACCCATCCAACCTTGTTTGTGGCAAACACAAAAACAAGAAAGTTTCTGGAGTAGAACAACTCCCTGCAAAGTGAGGACCAAACAAGTAAATACGAATAACACTGGGTTGCTGTGAGTTTTCTGTATGCTGCCTGGCCATGTTCCAGAAGCATTCTCTCCTGACGTTTTGCCCGCATCTATGGCAGGCATCCTCAGAGTCTGGGAGGTCTGTTGGAAACTAGGAAAATTGGGTTTATATCCCTGTGAAATGATGTCCAGGGTGGGAGAAAGAAAGCACTCTTGTCTGCTGGAGGCAGCTGTGAATGTTGTACTTGGCCACCTTGACTAGCATTTAACAGCCTTGCAGCTTCAAAGCCTGGCTGCTTCCTGCCTGGGGGAATCCTCTGTTTGGAGGTGTTAGCTGGCCCTGATTGATTCTTCGGGACAGTAAATAAAGAGCGACATTCAAAAAGCAGGGGAATTCCAGACAAGAATAAATCAGGAGATTCCATCTGAACATTAGGAAGAACTTCCTGACTGTGAGAGCCGTTCAGCAGTGGAACTCTCTGCCCCGGAGTGTGGTGGAGGCTCCTTCTTTGGAAGCTTTTAAGCAGAGGCTGGATGGCCATTTGTCAGGGGTGATTTGAATGCAATATTCCTGCTTCTTGGCAGAATGGGGTTGGACTGGATGGCCCATGAGGTCTCTTCCAACTCTTTGATTCTATGATTGTAGGGCCAGCTAACGCCCCCAGCAAAGGATCCCCCAGGCAGTAGCAAGCCAGGCTTTGAAGCTGCAAGGCCATTCAATGCTAATCAAGATGGCCCATGGTAACATTCACACTTGCCTCAAGCGGACAGGAGTTCTTTCTCCCACCATGGACATTATTCCACAGATAGAGATTCAGAGAACCCTAGAATCCTCGAGTTGGAAGAGACCTGGTGGGCCATCATCCAGTCCAAACCCATTCTGCCAAGAAGCAGGAATATTGCGTCTAAAGCACCCCAGACAGATGGTCATCCAGCCTCTGTTTAAAAGCCTCCACCACACTCTGGGGCAGAGAGTTCCACTGCTGAACAGCTCTCTCTCTCACAATCAGGAAGTTCTTCCTCATATTTCAGGTGGAATCTCCTTTTTTTGCAGTTGGAAGCCATTGTCCCATTTATTTATTTATTTATTTACTATTCTTGTATACCGCTGTATCTCAAGCCCGAGGGCGACTCACAGCGGTTTCCAAACAGCAACAGCAAAGACAATAAAAACAGCAACAATTAATATGCAATAACAATTAAATTACACATTTCCATTACTAGCTAATAAACAGTCATCAATACACAATTATCAAAAAATACACAATTATCACAAATCCCATCCCCGATCGCCTCATCATCCAAGCGTGATCCAAATTCGTCGTCCATTGCGTCCTCGTCTCCAGGGCAGCTTAAAGGAAGCCCCCTCGGTCCTTTAGATGTATATTAATAATAATAATAATAATAATAATAATAATAATAATAAACTTTATTCATACCCTGCCTCCATCTCGGAGTGGCTTACATGCGGCCAAGCCTGAACAACATATTACATCAAAACAAGAACCAAAACATAAACAACAAGCAACATCATCAAAATTACATGGGAGAAAAACAATACAGTAACAAAATAGCATTACAATAAACAAAAACACAGTCGCAGTAAACAGTGGGCGGGCCACATGTACAGGATAAAATGTTAAAAACTCCAATGAGATAAAAGTAGGAGTAGGTTATGTGCGAGGAGCTCATAAAGATAGACCCCACTTGCCTCGTTTCCAACAGACCTCTCACCCTCTCAGGGTCAGGGCCTTAGCCAGAAAAAAAAAATCGGGGAGGGTTGAGAATTTCTTGGGGGGGGGGAGTTTTGAAAATTTCGGGGGGGGGGTTGAAATTTTGGGGGGGGGGGTTGAAACCTGCCTCCTAGCTCACACTGAAGTCAAGAGCACATCTGCAGGGGTCAGAGCAGCCTTCCATAGCCTGCAGTTCCTCCCCTGTCAACCACCTCCACCAAGTCTGGTCTCCTTAATGAGAGCATTCAACACCCTCCCCCCCAACTTGGCTAATTCGGGGAGGGTTGAGAATTTTTTTGGGGGGGGGAGTTTGAAAATTTCGGGGGGGGGGGGGGGGGGGGGGTTGAAACCTGCCTCCTAGCTCACACTGAAGCAAAGAGCACAGCAGGGGCAGAGCAGCCTTCAATAGCCTGCAGTCTACCCTGTCAACCACCTCCAACAAGTCTGGTCTCCTTAATGAGAGCATTCACACCCTCCCCCCCAACTTGGCTAATTCGGGGAGGGTTGAGAATTTTGGGGGGGGGGAGTTTTGAAAATTTCGGGGGGGGGGGGTTGAAACCTGCTTCCTAGCTCACACTGAAGTCAAGAGCACATCTGCAGGGGTCAGAGCAGCCTTCCATAGCCTGCAGTTCCTCCCCTGTCAACCACCTCCACCAAGTCTGGTCTCCTTAATGAGAGCATTCAACACCCTCCCCCCCAACTTGGCTAATTCGGGGAGGGTTGAGAATTTTTTTTGGGGGGGGGGTTTTGAAAATTTCGGGGGGGGGGTTGAAAATTTCATGGGGGGGGGGTTGAAACCTGCCTCCTAGCTCACGCTGAAGCAAAGAGCATAGCAGGGGGCAGAGCAGCCTTCATAGCCTGCAGCTCCGCCCCTGTCAACCACCTCCACCAAGTCTGGCCTCCTTAATGAGAGCATTCAACACCCTCCCCCCCAACTTGGCTAATTCGGGGAGGGTTGAGAATTTTTTTTGGGGGGGGAGTTTTGAAAATTTCGGGGGGGGGGGTTGAAATTTTGGGGGGGGGGTTGAAACCTGCCTCCTAGCTCACACTGAAGTCAAGAGCACATCTGCAGGGGTCAGAGCAGCCTTCCATAGCCTGCAGTTCCTCCCCTGTCAACCACCTCCACCAAGTCTGGTCTCCTTAATGAGAGCATTCAACACCCTCCCCCCCAACTTGGCTAATTCGGGGAGGGTTGAGAATTTTTTTGGGGGGGGGGTGAAAATTTCGGGGGGGGGTTGAAACCTGCTTCCTAGCTCACACTGAAGTCAAGAGCACATCTGCAGGGGTCAGAGCAGCCTTCCATAGCCTGCAGTTCCTCCCCTGTCAACCACCTCCACCAAGTCTGGTCTCCTTAATGAGAGCATTCAACACCCTCCCCCCCAACTTGGCTAATTCGGGGAGGGTTGAGAATTTTTTTGGGGGGGGGAGTTTTGAAAATTTCGGGGGGGGGTTGAAACCTGCTTCCTAGCTCACACTGAAGTCAAGAGCACATCTGCAGGGGTCAGAGCAGCCTTCCATAGCCTGCAGTTCCTCCCCTGTCAACCACCTCCACCAAGTCTGGTCTCCTTAATGAGAGCATTCAACACCCTCCCCCCCAACTTGGCTAATTCGGGGAGGGTTGAGAATTTTTTTTGGGGGGGGGGTTTTGAAAATTTCGGGGGGGGGTTGAAATTTGGGGGGGGGGGGTTGAAACCTGCTTCCTAGCTCACACTGAAGTCAAGAGCACATCTGCAGGGGTCAGAGCAGCCTTCCATAGCCTACAGTTCCTCCCCTGTCAACCACCTCCACCAAGTCTGGTCTCCTTAATGAGAGCATTCAACACCGCTCCCCCCACCCCAACTTGGTTGCTTCGCTACTTCCACTATTGCTGCAAGTCATGACAGTGTGAATAAATTGTCAATATTTGCTTGAGATAGTGCTGGCAGTTCTGGAGGGACTCTTGATTTTTTGCGTCTCATAGGGGGATTTGGTTAACCAGTTAAAATTCATGAGTAAACCAGGTGTTTTTTTAACCTGAAAAATTTCAGGGGGGGGTGTTGAACCCCTAAACACCCCCCCCCTCGCTACAGGCCTGCTCAGGGCACCTGCATAGATGCAGGCGAAACGTCAGGAGAGAATGCTTCTAGAACAGAGCCAGGCAGCCATATGGAAAACTCAGAGCAGCCCAGTGATTCTGGACATGGAAGGCTTCCACAACCCAAAGAATGCCACTTTCTGAACAGGAAGAGGGTGCTCCATAGAGTTCCCGCTGCCTCTCCCCCAGGCAGGGAACCTTCAAGCCCACGCATGGGCTGCCTTGGGGTCTTCCTCCCTCCCTCCAACTCCCTGACAACAAGAGTTGATTTTGCCCAGGGGAGCTCTTGAGGCACTCTTGGGGGAAAACAGACCTTGACATATGCGAGTTGTAGTTACTGGGATGTATAGTTCACCTACAATCAAAGAGCATTCTGAACTCCACCAAGGATGGAATTGAACCCAATATGACACACAGAACTCCCACGACGAACAGAAAATATGCATAGAATCCTAGAACCATGGTTTCCAAAGAGTTGGAAGAGACCTCCTGGGCCATCATCCAGTCCAACCCCATTCTGCCAAGAAGCAGGAATGTTGCATTCAAATCACCCCTGACAGATGGCCATCCAGCCTCCGCTTAAAAGCTTCCAAAGAAGGAGCCTCCACCACACTCCCTCCTGGGAAGGCAGAGAGTTCCACTGCTGAACGGCTCTCACAGTCAGGAAGTTCTTCCTCATGTTCAGGTGGAATCTCCTCTCTTGGAGTTTGAAGCCATTGTTCCATTGGGTCCTAGTCTCCAAGGAAGCATTGGTTGGAGAGGGGGTGGGGGGCGCCAAAATACTCTTTGCTTGTTGTTGTTCATTCGTTCAGTCGTCTCCGACTCTTCGTGACCTCATGGACCAGCCCACGCCAGAGCTCCCTGTCGGCCGTTACCACCCCCAGCTCCCTCAAGGTCAGTCCAGTCACTTCAAGGATGCCATCCATCCATCTTGCCCCATTGAAAATGACCTAGGGCCGCCTCTGCTCCCAGAATTCCTCACAGCCTACCGGTGGTTCTCAACCTGGGGTCCCCAGATGTTTTTGGCCTACAACTCCCAGAAATCCCAGCCAGTTTACCAGCTGTCAGGATTTCTGGGAATTGAAGGCCCAAAACATTTGGAGACCCCCAGGTTGAGAAACACTAGGCTGTTAGGAATTGTGGGACTTGGAGTCCAAAACACCTGGAGGGAGGGAAGGAGGGCCCAAGGCTGCTGCCCCTCCCCCCCCCCCCCCCCCCCTCCGTTCCACAGCCTTCTCTTGTGCCGGGCTGGGAGGGATTGGGAGTGGGGGGGGGGTCCCGGGTGTCCGTGGGGGAGTCCCTAAGCCTGGCTCCTCCTCCTCCTGCCCTAGGTGAGCCACGCCTCTCCCCCTCCCAAGCTCCAGGGAACCAGTCCTGCGGGTGCTTTGCCGGAAGCGGCGAGCAACGCCCCTCGTGGCGCCCCCACGCGCGTGGACCTGCCTCTTTCCCTCCCCCTGGAAGCCCCTCCCCTTGGGCCACCACCGCCGGGGATGCTGGGAGGCGGAGTCCTCCGGAGCCACTGACAGACGGACTGACAGACTGACCCAGAGAGAGAGAGAGAGAGGGACTCTTATCTGCGGGGAACAGACCTAAGGAGCGGCGGCTCAGTGGAACTGGAGCAGGAGGAGCAGGAGGAGCGGAGGCCTCTTCTTCCCTTGGGGTGGCCTTGGTGGTGGTGGCGCCATGTCGTCGGCGGGATCAGGGTCGGGGCCGGGCTGTGGGGCGGGGGCGGCGCCGGCCTCCTCTGCGGCCGAGAGCGAGGACGAGAGCGAGGTGCTGGAGGAGAGCCCCTGCGGGAGGTGGCAGAAGCGCAAGGAACAGGTGGGCCCACGGGAGCACAGGGGGGGGGGGGGCACAGCGGGGGGGAGGGCGGCTCCCCCTTCCCACCTTCCTTCCTTCCCACCTTCCTTCCTTCCACCTTCCTTCCTTCCCACCTTCCTTCCTTTCTCCCTTGGGGAAGGGGTTTTGCAGTTGCAGCCCCCCCCCCCAAAAGCAGGACCCTCCCCCGCCCCCCCCCTCCCCCCCCCCGCCCCCCCCCCCCCCGCTGGGCCAGGTGCAGTCCCTCTCCTCCCCCCCATGCCCTGCCAGGGAACATCAGCAATAGCGGGGGGGGGGGCTTCTTCAAAGGGCGGGGACCCCCTCTCTCCCGCGCCCCCTTCCCAAGGAAACCTCGGTGCCCCCCCGTCCGATCTGCCCCCTGTCAACCCCTCTCCCCCTCCAATGCTCTGCCAGGGAATATCAGCAATAGCAGCGGGTGGGGGGCTTCTTCAAAGGGCGGGGACCCCCTCTCCCCCGCGCCCCCTTCCCAAGGAAACCTCGGTGCCCCCCCGTCCGATCTGCCCCCTGTCAACCCCCCCCCCCCCCTCCCTCTCCCCCTCCAATGCTCTGCCAGGGAATATCAGCAATAGCAGCGGGTGGGGGGCTTCTTCAAAGGGCGGGGACCCCCTCTCCCCCGCGCCCCCTTCCCAAGGAAACCTCGGTGCCCCCCCGTCCGATCTGCCCCCTGTCAACCCCCCCCCCACCTCCCTCTCCCCCTCCAATGCTCTGCCAGGGAATATCAGCAATAGCAGCGGGTGGGGGGCTTCTTCAAAGGGCGGGGACCCCCTCTCCCCCGCGCCCCCTTCCCAAGGAAACCTCGGTGCCCCCCCCGTCCGATCTGCCCCCTGTCAACCCCCCCTCCCCTCCCCCTCCAATGCGCTGATTATTGCAACAGCAACAGCAGGGGTGGACAAATGGCACTGGCGGGGACCCCCCCCCCCCCACACACACACAGTCCACCCACCCACGCCGCCCCCCCCCCCCCCCCCCCCCCCGCCCCCCCCCCCCCCCGCCCCCCCCGCCCCCCCCCCCCCTCTCCCCCGCGCCCCCTTCCCAAGGAAACCTCGGTGCCCCCTGTCAACCCCCCCCCGCGTTCTCCGAAGAGGGGCAAGGGGTCAGGGGGTCACGGGGTCAGGGGGCGTGGCTGGGGAGCAGCTGTTTACCTTTGCTGGGCGGCTGGGCTCGCTCTGCGCATGTCTTGCTAGGGAAGGCGGGGGGGGGGGCGCGCTCTTCTGCCCCATTTCTCCACCTCCCAGCTTTCCCGCCCTCCTCCTCCCCCTCCTCCTCCTCCTCCTCCTCCCCCTCCTCCTCCAGGAGCCATTAATGACAGTCAGGGGGGTCTCCCTCCCTCCCCGCTTTAGGGCGACCCTTGACCCCCCCACCCCCCCCCCCCCCATCCTGGGCTCCGGTCATTGCCATGGCTCCCCTGGGGCTGGCCCCTCCCCCATACCCCTCCTCCCCAAATGATCTGCAGGGCCCACTTTGGGGGGGGGTCTGCCTCTTCTTGAGTTCTGCGCCCCCTCCTCTCTCTCTCTCTCTCTCTCTCTCTCTCTCGGGGCTTTTCTGGGAGGGGGGGCGGGGGGGCGGGGCTGCTTTGCCCGCCTGGGTGCCCTCTTTTGGGCATGGGCTCCCTCCTTGGCCCCACCCCTTCTCCCCCCTCCCCCTCCCCCTCAATTTCAAGGCATCGCCACTGTTTTTCCACCCATTTCCCCTCCTTCCCTCCCTCCCTTCCTTCCTAGGATTCTTGGCTTCCGAAATTCCGTGACACTTGGCTGTTCAACTTTGGGACTTCTGCAGTTGGAAGGAAAGGGGTGGGGGTGGGGTGCCTACCCTAAGAAGGGGGAAGGGGCTGGGTCCTTTTCAGCAGTGGAACTCTCTGCCCCGGTGGGAGTGTCGTGGAGGCTCCTTCTTTGGAAGCTTTGAAGCAGAGGCTGGATGGCCATCTGCCAGGGGTGATTTGAATGCAATATTCCTGCTTCTTGGCAGAATGGGGTTGGACTGGAGGATGGCCCAGGAGGTCTCTTCCAACTCTATTATTATTATTATTATTATTATTATTATTATTAGAGGCTGGATGGCCATCTGTCAGGGGTGCTTTGAATGCAATATTCCTGCTTCTTGGCAGAATGGGGTTGGACTGGATGATGGCCCAGGAGGTCTCTTCCAACTCTTTTATTATTATTATTATTATTATTATTAAGTAGAGGCTGGATGGCCATCTGTCAGGGGTGCTTTGAATGCAATATTCCTGCTTCTTGGCAGAAGGGGGTTGGACTGGAGGATGGCCCAGGAGGTCTCTTCCAACTCTATTATTATTATTATTATTATTATTATTATTATTATTATTATTATTATTATTAAGCAGAGGCTGGATGGCCATCTGTCAGGGGTGCTTTGAATGCAATATTCCTGCTTCTTGGCAGAATGGGGTTGGACTGGATGATGGCCCAGGAGGTCTCTTCCAACTCTATTATTATTATTATTATTATTATTATTATTATTATTATTAAGCAGAGGCTGGATGGCCATCTGTCGGGGGTGCTTTGAATGCAATATTCCTGCTTCTTGGCAGAATGGGGTTGGACTGGATGATGGCCCAGGAGGTCTCTTCCAACTCTATTTATTATTATTATTATTATTATTATTATTATTAAGCAGAGGCTGGATGGCCATCTGTCAGGGGTGCTTTGAATGCAATATTCCTGCTTCTTGGCAGAATGGGGTTGGACTGGATGATGGCCCAGGAGGTCTCTTCCAACTCTTTGATTCTATTATTATTATTATTATTATTATTATTATTATTATTATTATTATTAAGCAGAGGCTGGATGGCCATCTGTCGGGGGTGCTTTGAATGCAATATTCCTGCTTCTTGGCAGAAGGGGGGTGGACTGGATGATGGCCCAGGAGGTCTCTTCCAACTCTATTATTATTATTATTATTATTATTATTATTATTATTATTAAGCAGAGGCTGGATGGCCATCTGTCAGGGGTGCTTTGAATGCAATATTCCTGCTTCTTGGCAGAATGGGGTTGGACTGGATGGATGGAAGGAAACTCTAGGATTCTGTTGTTGTTGTTGTTGTTGTTGTTGTTGTTGTTATTAAGCAGAGGCTGGATGGCCATCTGTCAGGGGTGCTTTGAATGCAATATTCCTGCTTCTTGGCAGGATGGGGTTGGACTGGATGATGGCCCAGGAGGTCTCTTCCAACTCTAGGATTCTTGCTTCTCCGTACAACTTCCCCAGCCTCACCTCTTGATCCCTGGCCCTCCAGAAGTCTCCTCTCAGCCATCTCTGTCTGCAGGCTAAACATGCCCAGCTCTTGAGGCCGCTCCTCACAGGGATTGTTTGCCAGACCCTTGATCATTGCAGTCTTGATAAACCAGATTGTTGGCTGGAGTCAAAGCCTGCCAGGAGTTCACTGGGGGCCCAAGAGCGTGGCGGTGGTGGTGGGGGGTCTGCCCAAGTGCTGTTCCCCTCCCCCTCCCTCCATCTCTCCATTTCTAATGGGGGCCATTGTGATGAGGCCCTGCATCTCCTTCTTTCTCCACCCCTCTCCAATTCTCCCCCCCCCCCCCAGGTGAACCAGGGCAACATGCCGGGGCTGCAGAGCACCTTCCTGGCCATGGACACGGAGGAGGGGGTGGAGGTGGTCTGGAACGAGCTGCTCTTCACCGACAAGAAGGCCTTCAAGGCCCACGAGGTGAGACACACCCCACCCCAAACAAAGAGTCCTTCTGCCCCCCTCCCCAGTTTACTATGGACATTTGAATTGCTCCCATACTTCCTGCCTACGTCATCTATGTGCATTAAAGACCCTTCCTCCCCCCAATACCCCCCCCCCCCCGGCCCTCTTTTGACTCTGCAGGAGAAGATCAAGACCACCTTTGAGCAGCTGGTGGTGGTAGACCACCCCAATATCGTCAAGGTGCACAAATACTGGCTGGACGTCCAGGAGACCAAAGCCCAGGTGAGGCAGCCACTTATTTATTGATTGATTTATTATTGACTTTATTTGTATACCGCTCTTCTCAGCCCTTAGGCAACTCAGAGCGGTTAACAATACAGTTTCGATATACATAGTATGAAATCATCGGACATTTAAAGCAATCATAAACAATTAATTAAACAACAAACATCAATATAACAAATCCATCGCGTCTCATCAATAGACTCAGAATCCAGTCTTATTATCCTTATTCCGTGTCCCAATAATGATTACACTGCCTAGTCGAATGCCTGTTCGAAAAGCCAGGTCTTCACTTTCCTCCGGAATGCCAACAGGGAGGGGGCCGATCTGATCTCTGTAGGGTGTTCCACAGCCGAGGGGCCACCACTGAGAAGGCCCTGTCTCTCGTCCCCGCCAGGCGCGCTTGTGAAGCTGGCGGGATCGAGAGAAGGGCCTCCCTTGATTGGCCAGAGAAGTCGGGTGAAGGGGCCCTACCTCATGCACAACGCCCCCCCCCCAACCTCCCCTCTCCCTGGAATCATGTATGTGGAAGGGTTTTGGAAAGGCAGGGCCTCTTAGAGATCACAACCTTTTGGAAAACCAGTCCATAAAACAGCCGAGTTTCAGGAGATATATCCAAAAACATATTTACTCTCCGATAAAAATAACTAGTTTTATATCATCCTCTCAAGAGACAAAAATGAAGTAGACTTCGTTAAAAGTAACATATTTGGTTTACTCACAACTGTCATGTATTCAGCATCCAGGTACATCACTTGTCAGTCCTGTTCCAGATAGGTTTGAAGTGGTGTCTCTGTGCAGGTAACCCAGGACACCTTTCTTACAACCAATAGCAACACGAGTTTGCTCTCATGGTGTCTCTGTGTTCTAAAATGGAGTCTGAGCTCTGAGCAGTCCCAGATCTGATCTTGTGGTCTGCAGCCCCTCCCACAACCCACAAGAAACATAGAGTAAAGGGAAAGCTGCATACCAAAACACACATATATAATGCAGTAAGCAAACATTTATTATTATTTATTTACAGTATTTATATACCGCCTTTCTCAAAACACACATATACAATGTGTGTTTGGGGGGGGGGGAGGCAAATATACAAAGAAATTACTAGTGGAGTTTTGAGGAAAGTTGCTATTTCCAACAAAGGGAGGGGAGTCCAGCCAATAGGAACCTAGGGCTACCACCCCCATTGGGCCTCAGCCCTGGTCTGTCAAATGGACTCTGCTTTGGGGTGGGGGTCCCTCGGGTCACTGCTGGCAAAGGGGGTGGCAAAGGGGAGAGGGCCGAGGACCCTTCCCAATCTTCTCATCTGCTTCCCTTCAGGTGATCTTCATCACGGAGTACGTCTCCTCCGGGAGCCTCAAGCAGTTCCTGAAGAAGACCAAGAAGAACCACAAGGCTATGAATGCCCGGGTAGGAGGGGGGGCAGGTCAGGAGGAGGGCCCCCACCTGGGGGAAGGAGGGAGAGGGGCTGGAGGGCTATGAGGACATGCCAGGGGGCTTTTCCAGAAGGCACCAGTGCCAAGGAGCGTGGGGAGAGGGGGCACACCTCTTTTTCAGGGTTGGAATTCATGACTCCCAACCCCAGAAGAGGAGCATTGCTCCCCAAAGGTGGGGGGGGGGCTCAGGAGCAGGTGCTTTGGGAGCCCTAGGAGGGGTGGGGGCAGTGGGTGAGTGGGGATCCCTTTGGCCCCTTCCCACTTTCCCAAGAGAGCCCCCGATGGACCAAGCAAAGGAACCTTTGGTATCGAGAGCAGTACGTGTGAAAAAGATCTTGGAGTCCTCGTGGACAACAAGTTAAACATGAGCCAAAAATGTGATGTGGCGGCAAAAAAAGCCAATGGGATTTTGGCCTGCATCAATAGGAGCATAGTGTCTAGATCTAGGAAGTAATGCTACCCCTCTATTCTGCTTTGGTTAGACCACATCTGGAATATTGTGTCCGATTCTGGGCACCACAATTCAAGAGAGATATTGACAAGCTGGAATGTGTCCAGAGGAGGGCGACTAAAATGATCAAGGGTCTGGAGAACAAGCCCTATGAGGAGCGGCTTAAGGAGCTGGGCATGTTTAGCCTGAAGAAGAGAAGGCTGAGAGGAGATATGATAGCCATGTATAAATATGTGAGAGGAAGCCACAGGGAGGAGGCGGGAGCAAGCTTGTTTTCTGCTTCCTTGGAGACTAGGTCTGGAGAACAAGCCCTATGAGGAGCGGCTTAAGGAGCTGAGCATGTTTAGCCTGAAGAAGAGAAGGCTGAGAGGAGATATGATCAGCCATGTATAAATATGTGAGAGGAAGCCACAGGGAGGAGGGAGCAAGCTTGTTTTCTGCTTCCCTGGAGACTAGGACGCTGGAACAATGGCTTCAAACTACAAGAGAGGAGATTCCATCTGAACATGAGGAAGAACTTCCTGACTGTGAGAGCCGTTCAGCAGTGGAACTCTCTGCCCCGGAGTGTGGTGGAGGCTCCTTCTTTGGAAGCTTTTAAACAGGGGATGGATGGCCATCTGTCAGGGGTGATTTGAATGCAATATTCCTGCTTCTTGGCAGAATGGGGTTGGACTGGATGGCCCAAGAGGTCTCTTCCAACTCTTTGATTCTATGATTCTATGATTCTATCTCTAGCAGAGCAGAGTGCAGAGTGGCCAGGGCAACGTAGGAGCTTATGCTAGGAAAGGGGAGAAAACATGCAAGGTTTTCAAAACAGAGGTAAAACTTATTGTTGCAGGTAATGCATCTTGGATAAAAGAGTAGTTAGACGAAAGAAAAATGGTCCAGCATTGGTGGAAGAGAGTCCAATGCTGACTCTCGTGTCTCTGTGTGTCTGCCATATTGAGGTAGCACGCTTCAGGACTTCCGGGAAGAAGGGGGGCCAGGAAGCAACAAGACCTTGATTGACATCGGCCGAGGAAACTGAGGTGGAAACAAATTGGCAGCAGGCATCACAGGGTCCTTTGGGCTCACAATGGTTCCATATACCCGTGGTTCTTAACCTGTGGGCCGCGGTCCATGAGTGGGCCGCAAAGACGAAAATCTGGTCCATGAGCTTCCTTCCTCTTTATTTATTTATTCATTCATTTATTCATTTATTCAGTTCTTGTGGGGGTTTTTTTCATTTATTTATTTTCTGCTCCTTTTGCACCACTTGCCACTTCTTCCCTGTCTCTGACCAGCCCCACCCCTTTGGATAGACCTCATCAGCTCTAGATTATTAAATGTTATTATTTATTTATTTACTTACTTACTTACTTACTTTATTATTATTTATTTATTTACTGCATTTGTTGACCGCCGCTCTCAGCCCTGGGGCGACTCGCGGCGGTGTACAACATATAAAAACAGTTTACAAAAAGCACACAATATATCAACATAACCATATTACACATTAATCTAAATCACACTAACAAATCCGCACCGTCACAACATAGAATCATAGCCAGTCTCATAATCCATAATCCGTTCCAGATATCATTACCAGATTCATGTAGCTCTCAATTAGATGCCTTCTCGAATAGCCAGGTCTTTAGGCTCTTACGGAAAGCCATAAGGGAGGGCGCCTGTCTGATGTCAACAGGGAGGGTGTTCCACAGCCGGGGGGCCACCACCGAGAAGGCCCTATCTCTCGTCCCCGCCAGGGTGCCTGTGAGGCAGGCGGGATCGAGAGAAGGGCCTCCCCAGACGATCTCAAGGCCCTCGTGGGCTCATAGGCCGAGATGCGGTCCGAAAGGTATTTTGGGCCGGAACCGTTTAGGGCTTTGTAGGATAACACCAGCACCTTAAATTGGGCCCGGTAGCAGATCGGCAGCCAGTGGAGCTGGAACAACAAGGGCGTTGTGTGCTCCCTGTGTCCCGCTCCTGTTAGTAACATGGCTGCCGCGCGCTGGACTAGCTGAAGCTTCCGGGCCGTCTTCAAGGGCAGCCCCACGTAGAGAGCGTTGCAGTAGTCAAGGCGGGATGTGACCAGAGCATGTACCACCGTGGCCAAGTCAGACTTCCCAAGATACGGGCGCAGCTGGCGCACGAGCCAAAGCTGTGCAAATGCTCCCCTGGTCACCGCTGAAACCTGGGGATCCAGGCTCAAGATGAATCCAGGGTCACACCCAAGCTGCGAACCTGCGCCTTCAAGGGGAGTGCGACCCCGTCCAGCACAGGCTGTAACCCTATACCCTGTTCGGCCTTGCGACTGACCAGGAGTACCTCTGTCTTGTCTGGATTTAATTTCATATACTTCATTTATATACTGCTTTTCTCAGCCCTCAGGTGACCCAAAGCAGTTAACAACAGCAAAATTCAATGCAAAATATCACAAAACGATTATGGGACAGTTAAAACAATAGCATCATCAATTAAACATCAATATAACAATCATTAGCGTCTCATTTATTTATTTACGTCATTTCTATCCCACCCATATCAGCCCAAAGGTGACTCATGGTTTTCTGTGGGCGAGCAAATGGCAACTACTGGGTGGCATATGTTCTGTATCATAAGCTAGAGCTGATGTGGTCTACCCAATGCAATTTCCTGAATCAGCACCCCAAATAACCAAACTGAATCTAAAGTTGACCAAAAACTGATTCGTAACCCCTGACCAGGGACCGCTCTCCATGTTGGAGAGCGGTCCCTGGTCAAGTGATCCTTGATCAAGTGGTCACTGGTCAAAAAAAGGTTGGGGACAACTAACCACTGCTCTATACTGTACAAGAGTGGATGCTTCTCCACTTCCAACATCACAGAGGCTGTATAAACCAGGAAGGGGGGCATCTAGAAATTTCTGGATTTTTGTCTGCTTGGGTGGGGTCTGGACTCTGTGTCCCGAACTACCGTAACTCTGCCCCCCTCTCCCTCCCAATGCAGGCTTGGAAGCGCTGGTGCACCCAGATCCTCTCCGCTCTCAGGTGGGTCCCAGCACAGCACCTGTTTGCTTGCTGTGGTTGGAAGGGGGAAGGGGCAATGGCCCAACAGCCCCTTGACCCCGCTTTCCTTGCAGCTACCTGCACTCCTGCGACCCCCCCATCATCCACGGCAACCTCACCAGCGACACCATCTTCATCCAGCACAACGGGCTCATCAAAATTGGGTCAGGTAAGGCGCAGGAGGGGAGGCCCAGGTGGGCCAGCATTGGGCTGAGGAGGAGCTTCCCTTAAGCCGGGGGGGGGGGGGGGGGGGGTTCTGTCCACAATGGGCTCCAGAGGACAGGATCAGAATGCAAAATGCCCTGAACAGATTAGAGAGGTGATTGGATAAAATAGACAACATGAGTGTGAAAAAGATCTTGAAGTCCTCGTGGACAACAAGTTAAACATGAGCCAACAATGTGATGTGGCGGCAAAAAAAGCCAATGGGATTTTGGCCTGCATCAATAGGAGCATAGTGTCTAGATCTAGGGAAGTAATGCTCCCCATGCTCTATTCGCTTTGGTTAGACCACACCTGGAATATTGTGTCCAATTCTGGGCACCACAATTCAAGAGAGATATTGACTCTAAGCTGGAATGTGTCCAGAGGAGGGCGACTCAAATGATCAAGAGTCTGGAGAACAAGCCCTATGAGGAGCGGCTTAAGGAGCTGAGCATGTTTAGCTTGAACAAGAGAAGGCTGACAGGAGACATGATGAGGGCCGTGTATAAATATGTGGGAGGAAGCCACAGGGAGGAGGGAGCAAGCTTGTTTTCTGCTTCCCTGGAGACTAGGACAATGGAACAATGGCTTCAAACTACAAGAGAGGAGATTCCATCTGAACATAAGGAAGAACTTCCTGACTGTGAGAGCCGTTCAGCAGTGGAACTCTCTGCCCCGGAGTGTGGTGGAGGCTCCTTCTTTGGAAGCTTTTAAGCAGAGGCTGGATGGCCATCTGTCAGGGGTGCTTTGAATGCAATATTCCTGCTTCTTGGCAGAATGGGGTTGGACTGGATGATGGCCCAGGAGGTCTCTTCCAACTCTAGGATTCTAGGATTCTATGATTCCATGAATCTCAACAAGGACAAATGTCAGATTCTGCACTCTGGCAGAAAAAAATGAAATGCAAAGGTGACGCCAGTCCGTGTGAGAAAGATCTTGGGTGTCTTGGTGGACAACAAGTGGGACATGAGCCAAGAGTGTGAGGCAGCAGCTCAAAAGGCCAGTGGGATTTTGGGCTGCATCCAAAGGAGTTGAGGGTCCAGATTGAGGGAAGAAGTCCTGGTGCCTCTCTCTTCTGCTTCAGGCAGACCTCTTTCCCTGGACTATTGTGTCCAGTTCTGGGCACCACGGTTCAAAAGTGTCCAGAGGAAGAGGGCAACTCAAATGATGAAAAGTCTGGGGAGTGCAGGCCATGAATCCCTCTGAGGAGTGCTTGCAGAAGAGAAGGTGGAGGGCAGACAGGAGAGGAGCCAGGTTTAAGTAGGTGAAAAGGTGTCCAATGGAAGAGGGAGAAGGCTTCCTTTCTGCTGCCCTGGAAACTAGGACTCAATGGAGCCATGGGTTCAAATGACAAGAAAGGAGATTCCACTCCAACATTAGGAAGAACTTCCTGATCATATGAGCTGTTCAACAGTGGAACTCTCTGCCTTGGAATGTGGTGGAAGCTCCTTCCTTGGAAGCTTTTAAACAGAGGATGTATGACCATCTGTCAGGGGTACTCTGATTGTGCTTTACCTGCATGGCAGGGGGTTGGACTGGATGGCCCATGGGGCCTCTTCCAGTTCAATGATTCTTGCAGTCCAATGACAGGAAAGGAGATTCCACCTCAACATTAGGAAGAACCTCCTGACCATATGAGCTGTTCAACAGTGGAACTCTCTGCCTTGGAGTGTACTGGAAGCTCCTTCCTTGGAAGCTTTTAAAAAGAGGCTGTATGGCCATCTCTTGGGAGTATTTTGATTGTGCTTTTCCTGCATGGCTGGGGGTTGGATGGCCCATGGGGCCTCTTCCAATTCTATGATTCTTGCAGACGTTTTGAGGGGCGGAGGGTGGGCTTTCAGTGCCAGCTCTCCATTAATGCCTGCCTTCTTCTTCCCCCAAACCCTCCCTGCAGTGTGGCACCGGGTCTTTGCAAAGGGTAAGTATTGCTCCCAAGGCTCCTACCTTCTTCCCTGCCCAAAGCATGAAAGCCCAGCCATGGCACTCGGGGGCCTCGGTGGGTGGACTGGGAGGCCCGCCTTTTTTTCCCCTCCCTGGCCCCTCTGACTTTCTTGGTCCGGCTCCTGCAACGTGTCCCGCTCTCTGCTTTGCCTCCCGCAGCCATCCCCCCGGAGCTCCGGAGCCCCGTCCGCACAGAGCGGGAAGAGCAGCGCAACCTGCACTTCTTTCCCCCGGAGTACGGACGTGAGTGCCTTCGGGGAAATTGGCTCTTTTCTTACAATCAGCAGCAACATGAGTTTGCTCTGAAAGGAGATTCCATCTGAACATGAGGAAGAACTTCCTGACTGTGAGACCCGTTCAGCAGTGGAACTCTCTGCCCCGGAGTGTGGTGGAGGCTCCTTCTTTGGAAGCTTTTAAACAGAGGCTGGATGGCCATCTGTCAGGGGTGCTTTGAATGCAATATGGCCCATGACGTATCTTCCAACTCTAGGATTCTATGATTCTATGAACAGTCTCTGAGTTCTAAAATGGAGTCTGAGCTCTGAGCAGTCCCAGATCTGATCATGTGGTCTGCAGCCCCTCCCACAACCCACAAGAAACATAGAGTAAAGGGAAAGCTGCATACCAAAACATGCATACATACACAATACAGTAAGCAAACAGAATCATACACAAACAAATTGCTAGTGGAGATTTGAGGAAAGTTGCTATTTCCAACAAAGGGAGGGGAATCCTGCCAATAGTAACAGAACTGTAAAGCCAGGGGGGGTCAGAAAGGGGGGTAATAGCATCCTTTTATTGTTGCATCACAAATAAAAGGGTAGATAGGCAAAAGAAAGTGGTAGAAGAGTGTTTAATACTGTGACTCATGATACTTCCTTCTCAAAGCACTAAAGCAGGCATGGGCCAACTTTGGCCCTCCCTCCAGATGTTTTGGACTCCAACTCCCACCATTCCCAACAGCTGTTTCCAGTCAGCACTCTCTTCACTCTCCAAGGTGAAAGTGGCAGTCAGCTTAAGCGGCTGAGGGGGAAAAGGAAGGGGCCTGAGGCTGTTAGGAATGGGAGTTGGAGTCCAAAACACCTGGACAGAGGGCCAAAGTTGGCCCAGGTCTGCACTAACATAATAAGGGATGCTAAAGACTTTTGGGAAGGAGGCTTCTTCACTCCCAACAGGCCATCATCCCGCTTTGGTGGGGAGGGAAGGGGCCGGATAAATGGCTGGAGGGCAGCCAGCGACAGCCTTGGTCTCTTTGTGCTTGACCCTCAGGTGCAGCGGACGGGACGGCTGTAGACATCTTCTCCTTTGGGATGTGTGCCTTGGAGGTAGGAAGAGCTGTGGTATGACTTAGGCAGGAAAGGGGCGGGGGGCTCCGCCGTCCTTCCTCAGCCCGTTTTAGAAAAGCATGACCTTTTAGAGATCATAACCTTTTAGAGAAGAGCCAAAAACCCCTTTCAGTAGAATTCTTCTCAAGTAATATACAACCAAATGCAATTGGTTTCAGTTGTTAGACTGAATAACCTGTTGTCTCTGATCTGTTAGGAAACAGAGAATATGCCAGTGCATAAAAAATAGGAAGCCCCGGCAGTGCAGCAGGCTAAGCCGCTGAGCTGCTGAACTTGCTAACCAAAAGGTCGCAGGTTTGAATCCGGGGAGCGGGGTGAGCTCCTGCTGTTAGGCCCAGCTTCTGCCAACCTAGCAGTTCCAAGAGCAAACCACTGACCACCTGCTGCAATGCACAATGGAGGACCTTCTTATAGTAACACCAGAGGCACTCCACGTGGCCAGCTACTGGTCAAAGGACATCTAATCAACTACCAAGCTTGCAAACTTCGTGTCTTGTTTGTTTGTTTGTTTGTTTGTTAAAAATGCAATACAACTGTTTGGTTTCCTCCTGACACGATAAATAAATAAGTTTGAAAACATACAAATGTGAGTAGATCAATAGGTACCGCTCCAGCGGGAAGGTGACGGCACCCCATGCTGTCATGCTGGCCACATGACTTTGGAGGTGTCTAAGGACAACGCCGGCTCTTTGGCTTAGTCATGGAGATGAGCACCAGAGTCCCAGAGTTGGATACAGTTGGACTTAATATCAGGGGAAAACCTAAAAAAATAGCAGTTCTTCAGAAGTGTTTTTCAGTGCCCAAAAATACATCTACTCTCCCACAAAAACAACTTGTTTTATATTATGCACTCATGAAACAAAATAAAGTAGAATTTGGTACAAATAACATATTTGGTTTACTCACGACCTTCATGTGTTCAGCATACAAAGGTACAAAACTTATCAGTCAGTTCCAGATATGTTTGAAGGCGTTTCTGTGCCATCCAGTCAGAACATCTCTCACACACACACACAATAAACAGCAGGCAAGTGCTTTGAAGTCTGCAAACTGAGAAGTCCCAAACTCAGTGCAAACTGAGAAGTCTAAAGAAGTCTGGGTTGTTGTGAGTTTCCTGGGCTGCCTGACCATGTTCCAGAAGCATTCTCTCCTGACATTTCATCTGCATCTACGGCAGACATCCTCACAGGTTGTGAGGTCTGTTGGAAACTAGGAAACAGTTTATATATCTGTGGAAAGTCCAGGGTAGGAGAAAGAACTCTTGTCTGCTTGAGGCAAGTGTGAATGTTGCAGTTGGCCACCTGGATTAGCATTTAATGGCCTAGCGGTTTCAAGGTCTGGCTTCTTACATAAGGTCTGGCTTCCACCTCAAGCAGGCAAGAGTTCTTTCTCCCACCCTGGACATTTCACAGATATATATAAATCTCACTTTCCTCGTTTCCAACACACCTCACAGCCTCTGAGGATGCCTGCCATAGATGTGGGCAAAATGTTAGGAGAGAATGCTTCTGGAACATGGCCAGACAGCCTGGAAAACACACAACAACCCAGTGATTCCAGGCATGAAAGCCTTCGACAATACTCTAAATAAGTCTGTGCTCGTCCCAGAGCGGATCACGTTGTCTGCAGCCCCTTCCCACAACTTCTCAGGAAAACATAGAGCAAGGGAAGAGAAGCTGCATTCCAGAACATACATACCATAAGTCAGCAACAGGATTATATGCAAACTAATTACTAGAGGAGGCTTGATGGCAATAATAATAATAATAATAATAATAATAATAATAATAATCTTTATTTATACCCCACCACCATCTCCCCAATGGGGACTCGGAGCGGCTTACATGGGGCCAAGCCTGGACAACGTATTACAGCAAAAATAAAACCAAAACATAAACAACAAGCAATAGGTTGTATTCTCCAACATCCTTCCTGTGCCCTTCCTCCTGCCAGCTGGCCAAAGGGCAACCTGTGGTCCTGGGGAGGGCTCCCCCACTGCTCCCCCCCCCCCCAATTCCCTTGCATTGCTTCTTCCCCAGATGGCAGTCCTGGAGATTCAGTCCAATGGGGACGCCTGCGTGACCAAGGAGGCCATTGAGCAAGCCAGCTACTCCCTGGATGACCCCAACATGCAGGTGAGGGGCTCTGTGGGCCGTGTGTCGGGGCAGGGGGGCTACGTGTCACACGCTTCTTCTGTGGAAGGTCCCACGTTTTTTTGTCCTGGAAAGAAGAGGCTTGTGGGGTGCCTTTCAGGGCTGCTCAGCATCGGTGCTAATGACTTGAAGGAAGGTTTAGAGGGTGTGCCGATCCCAGTTGCAGACGGGGCCAAATTGGGAGGGAGAGCAAATACTCCAGAGGACAGGATCAGACTTTAGAATGACCTTCACAGATTAGAGAGCAGATTGGACAAAACAAACAAAATGAATTTCGACAAGGACGAATGTAAGATACTGGACTTAGGCTGAGGAAATGAAATGCGTGTGATGCCTGGCTCAACAACGTTCCCTTTGTGAAAGGGATCTCGGAGCCTTGGAAACAGAATTCCGTACATGGGGAAGAGACCTTGCAGTCTCAGTAGACCCAAAGTTGAACATGAGCCAAGAGAGTGAGGCAGCAGCTCAAAAAACAATGGGATGTTGGGCTGCATCCAAAGGAGTTGAGTGTCCAGTCCCTCTTCTGCTTTGGGCAGACCTCACTCGCACACCCGGAATAACCCTGTGTCTACTTCTGGGCAAAGCAATTCAAGAGGGATGTTGACTCTAAGCTGGAATGCGTCCCGAGGAAGAGGGCAACTGAAAGGATCAAAGGAAGAGGGAGCAGATCTGTTTTCTGCTGCCCTGGAGACTGGGTTCAGATTGCAGGGAAGGAGATGCAACCTGAACATTAGGAAGAACTTCCTGACTGTCCGAAGAGCTGTTCAGCAGGGGAATCCCGTGATGGAGGTGTTGGGTTCCCACCCATGGGTACCTGGAGGTCCCACTTGCCCCCAGAGGCCAGGGGAGAACAGCTCCTCCCACTGCATCCCTACTCAGCCCTGTTTTGCAAGCCTCTCATTACCTGAAACATGTGGGAACATTGGTAGCTATGGCAGAGTAGAGTGCAGTATAGGCCAGGCAGGGGCCAACTTTGGCCATCCAGGTGTTTTGGACTGCAACTCCCACCATTCCTAACAGCTTCAGGCCATTTCCTTTCCCCCTCAGCCACTCCCTTGCAAATTTGCCACTCTCCATAGGTACACTCACACTGTCTCTCTCCTTCCCATGGAACAGAGCATGGCGGGTGGACCACTCCTCAGGTCTGCCACACTTTGAGCATTATTAGACTGAGTCTTTTATAGGAGTATTCTGCTGATGTCGTCTCAAAGTTGTAAATTAATTATAGACGTCTTCCATCCTGTCTCCATCTCAGTTTCCTGGCCAGATGTTGATTCTTCTTGATTGGTGTTGATCTTATGTTGACTTCCGTCTTAACTTTGCAAACATTTCTGTTATCACTGTCCCAGTTCTTATCATAGTTTTCTTTTCCGTTCTTATTAGCAACTTTTAATTACAGTCCAGTAAGCACCGTGTCCAGTTAGTCATTGCAGGCTTTAATATTTTACTGGCGTCTCCAAAATTATTAATTCCATGCATACATCTTTCCATTCATTCCCACACATATATTAAATCCACATTTATCAAATCTGCACATTACTTTTTTGTGACACCTGTAAGAAAGAACCTGTCGCAACTCAAGACAGCTTGCTCAAGACACCACCACATACCAAGGCTGTAGGTTTTGTAGTTTATTGAAGAAAAAGCAAAATCAAAAACATAGAAATGTAGTTGCAAAAGTTCAATAGCCAAAACAGAGTCTTAAATGCAAAGGTAAAGTTTCCAAGATCCAAAAGCAAATAACATGAAGTATAATCCTTTAGCATTGGTTAAACAAGAGTCCATGGCAGCATGACAAGGTCCCCAAAAACCAAGATCAAAACCAAAGTCCCAAAGAGCTAAAAGCTTTCCCCAAAAGCCGAGTTAATTCCAAAGAAGTTAACAGGGTGTAAACAACATTGCACTGACAAAGGATTGACTTCAATCAGATTGTTAAATATCTTTCCCTAGCATGAAAGCATTACGTTGACCTCGAACTTCCCGTTTATTGGCAAGCCGAGCACTTCGGCGTACCCTTAATTGCAAACGGTCCTCCCTAATTAAATCTCCACCATCTTCAAGGCCGGATAACTCATTATCCTGGGACTGATCACCCTGGGAACCGAGAGGCACTGAACTCTCAGAAGGAGCCGACTCCTCCACCTGCAGCTGTGAAGTTTCACTATCTTCATCTAAAACAACATTCCTTTCTCTGGGAAACAGAAATGCCATCTCTTCTTCAGAATCAACACTGTCTGCCTCAATAACAGGGACGTGTTCAGAAATCTGTAACACATCATCCTCCTCGTCCTGAGGAAACTCAGGCTCAGAAAGCTCAGGCTCAAACAAAAAGGACCAATAAACACATAAAACTCTTTTGGGAAGGACAGGGAAGAGAGCGCTCCATGAAGGCATTAAGCCAAGCACACCTTGAGTTACATAGATCTAGGACACTGAGGTGGAGAATGGGCTTGCAGCACAGTTACCCAGACAACCCAAATCTTGGCTGGGGCTTCCTTCTTGGGGGGTGGCTGTTGCTCTCCGTGGGCCTCTACTGCCTTCCCTTCGGCTCAGAGGCCTTTCTCTCTCTCCCCCTCCCCCCCGCCCCCCGGCCCAATGCACCTGAGCCAAAAGGCGGGGAGGGTGTTCTCTTGCAATTCAGGACAGGTGACGTGAGGTGCAGGTGTGTGGAGCCTTCTCTCACGGTGCTCTGTCACGCTCCCTTGCGCATCTCTCCTCGTCAAACCAAACCAACCGGCTTCCTTGTAGGGTTGCGGGGTGTGTGTGTTGTGGCTCACTGCATACCTCCCCCTCATCCGGGTCCTCCCGTGGCCTGGGCAAACCAGGACAGCCCCAGCCTTTCCCAGGCTTCACAAAGAGAAAAAGAACCAGAGAGACAGGAAAGGCTTTTACAAACAGGATTGGCTTTCATGGTAGAGGCGCGTCACTAATTAGCAGAGTCAAGTCAAGGAGGAACAATGGGCCAAACAACCCTTTGGGCGTAAATGAGGTCATGCACAAAAGAGGAGAAGCTGAGAGAGTGTGACCCACCCAAGGAGAACAAGCCCTGTGAGGAGCGGCTTAAAGAGCTGGGCATGTTTAGCCTGCAGAAGAGAAGGCAGAGAGGAGACATGATGAGGGCCAGGGATCAAGAGGTGAGGGATCAAGTCATAGGGAGGAGGGAGGGGCTTCCTTTCTGCTGCCCTGGAGACTCGGACGCAATGGAGTCAGGACTTCAAACTACAGGAAAGGAAGGAGATTCCACCTGAATATATTAGGAAGAACTTCCTGACTGTGAGAGCTGTTCAGCAGTGGAACTCTCTGCCCTGGAGTGTGGTGGAGGCTCCTTCTTTGGAGGCTTTTAAACAGAGGCTGGATGGCCATCTGTCGGGGGTGCTTGAATGCAATTTTCCAGCTTCTTGGCAGGGGGTTGGACTGGATGGCCACAAGGTCTCTTCCAACTATTATTCTAACTGTGAGAGCTGTTCAACAGTGGAACTCTCTGCCCCAAAGTGTGGTAGAGGCTCCTTCTTTGGAGGCTTTTACAGTGAAGCTGGATGGCCATCTGTTGGGGGTGCTTTGAATGCAATTTTCCTGCTTCTTGGCAGAATGGGGTTGGACTGGATGGCCCACCAGGTCTCTTCCAACTCTAGGATTCTAACTGTGAGAGCTGTTCAGCAGTGGAACTCTCTGCTCCAGAGTGTGGTGGAGGCTCCTTCTTTGGAGGCTCTGAAGCAGAGGCTGGGTGGCCATCTGTCAGGGGGACTTAATGCTTGGCAGAATGGGGTTGGACTGGGTGGCCCACCAGGTCTCTTCCAACTCTAGGATTCTATGGGTCACTGAGAAGGCGCTGCCCCCTGACCCTCTTCCCTTTCTCTCTGCAGGAGTTTGTCCTGGGCTGCCTCCTGCTGAACCCGGAAAAGCGTCCGACGGCCCACAACCTGCTCTTCCACCGCGTCCTCTTTGAGGTCCACTCCCTGAAGCTCCTGGCCGCCCACTGTTTCATCAGCAACCAGTGTGAGTGGACGGAGGGGGGTGGCAGTGAAGGGGAGGAGTCCTGCTTCTGGGGAGGGGTCTATGGAGGAGGGGGTGTCCCAGCTTCAAGGCCCACTGCTGTCCTGCTCCCCTCACAGACCTCTGGCCCGAGAATGTGGTGGAGGAGAAGACCAAGGAGCTGGACCTGAGCATCGTGATGGCTGAGATACAGCGCCGGCACCGGCCCCCGGTCCAGTGGAGGTGGGTCCCGGGGGGCATTTATGGGGAGGGAGGGGGCACAGGTGGAGGCCCCTGTGGGCAGCCCAGGGACCTCTCACTCCTCTTCCTCCTCCCTAGGTACTCTGAGGTCTCCTTCCTGGAGCTGGACAAATTCCTGGAGGACGTGAGGTGAGTGCTCTGTGTCTGCCTGGTGGGATTGTCCTCAACTGGGAGCCCTTCCAGGAGTGGCAGCGGTCATGGGGCAGCTGCTGCCCCTTAACTGGGGCTGGGGGGACAGGGGGCATAGGCAGCCCACACAGGGGCCCATGGCTTCTTCCCTTCTCTGGCAGGAATGGCATCTACCCTTTGATGAACTTTGCCACCAGCCGGCCCCACTCTCTGCCCCGCTCCACCTCCCAGCCCTATGAGGACCCCCAGAAGGCCAAGACCCCCACGCCGGAGCCCTTTGACGTGGAGACAAGGAAGGTCAGTGCGGGCCCAGCTCTCGGAGGGCATGACGGGGCCACACAGTGCCAGAAAATAGCTGTGGGGTTGAAGAAGGCATTGCCATGTGTACAATATTGGCAGGAGCCATTGGGAGGAATGCCAGGGAGGGGCTGCTTGGCAATGGTTGGGTACGGGGTGGGTGGGTGGGTGGGTGGGCAGCACTGGCCCCAGGAGGAACCTGGCTCTTGCCATAGAATCCTAGAGTTGGAAGAGACCTCCTGGGCCATCCAGTCCAATCCCATTCTGCCAAGAAGCAGGACAATCGCATTCAAAGCACCCCCGACAGATGGCCATCCAGCCTCTGTTTAAAAGCTTCCAAAGAAGGAGCCTCCACTACACTCTGGGGCAGAGAGTTCCACTGCTGAACAGCTCTCACAGTCAGGAAGTCCTTGTCTAATGTTCAGGTGGAATTTCCTTTCCTGTAGTTTGAAGCCATGGCTCTATTGCGCCCTAGTCCCCAGGGGAGAAGAAAGGAAGCTTGCTCCCTCCTCCAGTGGACTTCCCCGGCCTCACTTATTTATACATGGCTATCATGTCTTCTCTCAGCCTTCTCTTCTGCAGGCTAAACATGCCCAGCTCTTTACGCCACTCCTCATAGGTTTTTTTCTCCAGACCCTTGATCATTTTAGTCACCCTCCTCTGGACATATTCCAGCTTAAAGTCAACATCTCCCTTCAGTTGTGGTGACCAGAATTGGACACCGTATTCCAGGTGTGGTCTGACCAAGGCAGAAGAGAGCATGGGGAGCAGGACTTTCCTGGATCTAGACACTAGACTCCTATTGATGGAGGCCAAAATCCCATTGGCTTTTTTGCTGCCGTATCACATTCCTGGCTCGTGCTTAACTTGTTGTCCACAAGGGTTCCAAGATCTTTTTTGTCCTGAGGTTCCTTCCTTCCTTCCTTCCTTCCTTCCTTCCTTCCTTCCTTCCTTCCTTCCTTCCTTCCTTCCTTCCTCCCTCCCTCCCTCCCTCCCTCCCTCCCTCCCTCCCTCCCTCCCTCAGGTGGTGCAGATGCAGTGCAGCATGGAATGGAGTGAGGAGAAGAGGCAGTGGCACGTACGTATGCAAACCCCCCCCCCCCCAGCTGATCTCAAGGGGCCCCCTTTAGCATTCACCTCTGGGGTTCTTCTGGGAGGGGGTTGTGTACTGACCCATCCTTCCTTCCTCAGCCTTGCCCCCTTGACCCATTGCCCTTTGCTTAGATTCTGGAACTAGTGCTGTTCCTGGGGGAGCCTGCTCTTGGGGGTCCCCCAGGGGAGGGTCTCTCCTGACCCCCCTGCCTGACTTTTGCCCCCTCTCTCTCTGCCACAGCTCACACTCCTCCTGGTCCTGGAGGACAAGCTCCACCGCCAGCTCAGCTACGACCTACTGCCCAGTGAGTCACCTGTGCCCTGCCCTGCTCTGCTCTGGGTCCTGGGTGGGGGACCACCCTTGGGATACAGTTGTTGGGGAGGGGGAGAGGCAGCCCCCTCCACTCCACTTTGCTGATTGGCTCCTCCTCCCTCCTTCCCTTCCCTCTCCTCCCCGCAGACGACAGCCCCAGGGACCTGGCCGCAGATCTGGTGCACTATGGCTTCATCAGCCAGGTGAGCTGCCTCTGCTCAGTGCCATTGGGGGGCAACTGGAGGGAGAATGGGGTTCACCTCTTGGGTATTTTCCCTGCCTGCCTCCCGGTCACCCGGCCCCTTCTGCCCCTCCCAGGATGACTGCGAGAAGCTGGCCTTGTTCCTGGAGAACTCCTTCCACAAGCACCAGTCTCCCCCCTCCTGAAGGAACCCTGGGGGCAGGCCGTGGGGAGGGGCTCCGAACTGCTGGCCCTTAAGGAGACCCCAGCCACCCCCGCCGGCCCCCGGCCTCCTCCCTCTGCGCTGACTGGAAGGTGAAGATGCCCCAAGATGGCTCTCCTGTGCTGGGACCCATTGAGGAAGACCGGTGCTGGCCGGAGGGGGGAGCCGTGGACACAAGGCGGCAGGAGAGGGGCTTCTATGGGGACATTCCCCCCTCAGAAGGACAGAAAGGGAGGAAGGGGCCGTCGTCCACGGAGGGGGTGCCCTGCTGGGAAAGGAAGAGCTCCAGGAGCATCACGAGGAGCCAGGCAGGGGAAGAAGAGGCTCAGAGGTGCAGCCCAGAAGGAACGGGGCCAAGAGGAAGGAGGCCCTGCCCTTTGCCCTTGCTGGAGGAAGGGGGCAGGAAGTGGCTGAGGGGCTGGCCACGATGGGCTGAGTGCCCCCTCAATGGAACAGGAGTCGCTTCCGAAGCTGTGATGTGCTGCCACTGCCTTGGTTGTGCTGCTTGTGTGTGGCATGGGTGCCTGTGCGTGTACGTTCACTGCTGCCAGTGCTGCTGCTTGGAGGGGGGCTTGCTGCCCCTTTGAAGCCTGCGGCGATTGCTGCTTGTCCCCGCTGAGCTGCAGACCTATTTGGCCTGATGCTGCTGCTTGTGCCAAAGTCCTCCTCCTGCTGCTGCCGCCGTGCTGTGTGCCTGTGCCTCAGTTGGCCGCTGGCGAAGAGCGACCCATCCAACAAATATATTAAAATGTTGGGACTTGCTGTCGTTTGTCCCTCTCTGGTGTGCACAACCCCACAAACATCTAGGAGAGGAATCATAGAATCATAGAATCAAAGAGTTGGAAGAGACCTCATGGGCCATCCAGTCCAACCCCATTCTGCCAAGAAGCAGGAATATTGCATTCAAATCACCCCTGACAGATGGCCATCCATCCTCTGTTTAAAAGCTTCCAAAGAAGGAGCCTCCACCACACTCCGGGGCAGAGAGTTCCACTGCTGAACGGCTCTCACAGTCAGGAAGTTCTTCCTCATGTTCAGATGGAATCTCCTCTCTTGTAGTTTGAAGCCATTGTTCCAGCGTCCTAGTCTCCAAGGAAGCAGAAAACAAGCTTGCTCCCTCCTCCCTGTGGCTTCCTCTCACATATTTATACATGGCTATCATATCTCCTCTCAGCCTTCTCTTCTTCAGGCTAAACATGCCCAGTTCCCTAAGCCGCTCCTCATAGGGCTTGTTCTCCAGACCCTTGATCATTTTAGTGGCCCTCCTCTGGACACATTCCAGCTTGTCAATATCTCTCTTGAATTGTGGTGCCCAGAATTGGACACAATATTCCAGGTGTGGTCTAACCAAAGCAGAATAGAGGGGTAGCATTACTTCCCTAGATCTAGACACTATGCTCCTATTGATGCAGGCCAAAATCCCATTGGCTTTTTTTGCCACCACATGACATTGTTGGCTCATGTTTAACTTGTTGTCCATAAAGGCTCCAAGATCTTTTTCACACAAACTGCTATAAAGCCAGGCATTGTCCCCCATTCTGTAGCGTTGCATTTCATTTTTTCTGCCAAAGTGGAGTATCTTGCATTTGTCCCTGTTGAACTTCATTTTGTTAGTTTTGGCCCATCTCTCTAATCTGTCAAGATCGTTTTGAATCCTGCTCCTGTCCTCTGGACTATTGGCTATCCCTCCCAATTTGGTGTCGTCTGCAAACTTGATGATCCTGCCTTCTAGCCCTTCATCTAAGTCGTTAATAAAGATGTTGAACAGGACCGGGCCCAGGACGGAACCCTGCGGCAGGAGGAGCGAGGAGAGTGCCCAAGTCACCCTGGAAAGAAAAGTGGGACGTAGCTCACTTTTCTTCTCCACTTTGTGCCTCATCACTATTGCATTCCTCCTCCTTTTCACCTGCTTGTTGATCAGCAGGCCAGTGCCCCCCCCCCCCCCTGTCCTTTTGAACTTCCCCTGGTTTGAGCTCTCGGCTTTCAGCTGGTGCCTCCGTATCAGCCATTGAAAACAACAGGAGTGTTGTGTGGTTTCTGGGCTGTGTGGCCAATGTCTCCTAGCAGCGTTTTCTCCTGACGTTTCTCCTGCATCTTCCCATGAAGTTCCTCTGGAGAGGGCCTTAACAGTCCTTGCCCTAGCCAGCATTCCCCTTTCATCCATGGACTGTGAATCCCACGAGAACCATTCTTTGGTTGGGAAGTGTGGTTTCCATTATGAGTCTATTTATATTTCCCAGTGTAAACGTCTACTTCCCAGAGGGAGGGAGAGCAACACGAAGATACACCCAAATGTATTTATTTATTTAAAAGTTTTGTATACCGGCCTTCTCACCTCTCTTGAGGGGCTCAGACCGGTTTCCAACCATAATATCACATACAATCAATAAATCATCATAATACATATTACAGTACAACCTTAAAACAGCAATTACAATCAATAACTATAATGGTCAGTCGACCCACTAAAATCGCTGCTCCTCATCCTCCATCCATATCTCAGGGTGTTGGCTCACTCGTCGAATGCCTGTCTCCATAACCAAGTCTTCACCTGTTTCCTAAATGTCAGGATAGACGGGGCGGTTCTGATCTCCGGTGGGAGAGAGTTCCAGAGTCGAGGGGCCACCACCGAGAAGGCCCTGTCCCTCGTCCCCACCAGACGCGCTTGCGAGGCCGGTGGGACCGAGAGCAGGGCCTCTCCAGACGATCTTAATAATCTTGATGGTTCATAGGGGAGAATACGTTCGGAGAGGTAAACAGGGCCGGAGTCGTTTAGGGCTTTATAGGTTAACACCAGCACTTTGAATTGTGCTCGGAAGCTAATTGGCAGCCAGTGGAGCTGGTGTAACAGCGGAGTGGTGAGGTGGGGAGAAGATGTGTTGTTGAAGGCTTTTGCAGCTGGAATCACTGGGGTGTCGTGTGGTTTCCAGGCTGTATGGCCAATGTGTTTCAGCAGCATTTTCTCCTGACATTTCATAGAATTATAGAATTATACAATCCTAGAGTTGGAAGAAGGTGTTTAGAGTGGCTTGTAGGTCTTCTTCTGAATGCACACAGACGACATTGTCATCAGCATACTGGAGTTCTATAACAGATGTTGTTGTAATCTTGGTTTTGGCTTTCAGTCTGCTGAGGTTAAATAGCTTGCCATCTGTAAGTAAGTAAGTAAGTAAGTAAGTAAGTAAGTAAGAGTTGGAAGAGACCTGGTGGGCCATCCAGTCCAACCCCATTCTGCAAAAGAAGCAGGAAAATCGCATTCAAAGCACCCCGACAGATGGCCATCCAGCCTCTGTTTAAAAGCCTCCACTACACTCCGGTGCAGAGAGTTCCCCTGCTGAACAGCTCTCACATTTCTCCTGCATCTTGCCATGAAGATTCTCTGGAGAGGTCCTGAACAGTTCTTGCGCTAGCCAGCATTTCCCTTTCATCCATGGATTGTGCATCCCACATGAGCCATTCTTTTGTTGGAAAGTCAGCAATTCAGCAGTGCGGTTTCCTTGATGAATCTATTTATATTTCCCAGTGTAAACATATACTTCCCAGAGGGAGTGAGAGCAACAGGAAGATATACCCAAAGGTGGAGAAAGGAATGCAAGAGAATGGGATATGTTGCTATGGCACAACAAGCCAGAGATCTCAGGAGCCCTGGCTTATCCTCTACTGGTAGTGAGGGATGCTTGCTGTAGGAGCCGCTGAGCAATCCATAGGGCTCTGGCCCAATGTTGATTTGTTCCGTCATCTGTTCTTACTCTGGTTTCTTCCCTTCTAACAAAATCAAGACAGAATGCAGGGTTTGTTCTCTGGTGCATTAGGTCTAATTGAAGGCATTACACTTCCTTTCTGTGAGGCTGGGAATTTGGATCATATTCTGCTCAGAAACAAAGAATTGTTGGTTCTCTTGCGCTAGTGCATCATATCTGAAGATGACCAGCCACAGATGCAGGCGAAACGTCAGGAGAAAATGTATTCTCGAATATTTCACAGCTGGAATCACCAGGGTGTTGTGTGGTTTCTGGGTTGTGTGGTCAATGTGTTCTAGCAGCATTTTCTCCTGAGATTTCGCCTATGAATTCATGCAGCCTGGAAACTACACAACACCCCAATATCATGGGGACCTTGTCAGATTATTATTATTATTATTATTATTATTATTATTATTATTATTATTATTATTTTATTAAGCTTTATTTGTACCCCGCTAGCATCTCCCAGAGGATTCGATGCGGCTTACAACAGGCCGAGGCCACAATTTATTTATTTATTTATTTATTTCATTTACTTATACCCCGCCCTTCTCACCCCGGGGGGGACTCAGGGCGGCTTACAGAGGAGGCATAATTAGATGCCTAACAATTGACAGTAATACAAATATAAAAACAGTTCAACAATTAGAATTAAAACATCAACACATAATAAAATATTAGAAACAATCTCATGCTCGGGTTCAGAGTCCATATAACCATTCCATTCCATTGTCCTTGTCTGTCGTCAGATCCTTAATTTAACTGCCAGCGTGTCCAAAGGCTTGATCCCAAACCCAGGTCTTTAGTTTTTTCCTGAATGCCAGGAGGGAGGTCGCCGATCTAATCTCCCCGGGGAGTGAGTTCCACAGGTGGGGGGCCACCACCGAGAAGGCCCTGCTCCTCGTCCCCGCCAACCTCACTTGTGAGAGTGGCGGGGTCGAGAGCAGGGCCTCCCCAGAAGATCTTAAGCTTCGAGGTGGGATGTAGAGGGAGATCCGTTCGGAAAAATACACTGGGCCGGAACCGTATAGGGTTTTGTAGGTCAAAACCAGCACTTTGAATTGTGCTCGGAATTGGATCGGCAGCCAGTGGAGCTGACGCAACAGGGGGGTGGTATGCTCCCTGTACGCTGCTCCGGTGAGCAATCTGGCTTGCACAACAATACAACATAACAATACAATCAAGCAAATCAAACAATTAAAACAAATTAAAGCAAAATAAACAACAAGCACAGTACATTAAAACACAATAAAACTGGGCCGGGCCAAAAGGTGGGTACAAGGATTAAAAGTGCTGATTTGACAGGAGGTGTATAGAGGGTTACTATACAGATCAGCTGCATCCACAAGTTCCCCCCGTTGCTCAACTCAAACACATTGGCCAAACAGCCCTCCGGTCCTGAAACCCTCCGACAATACAATTTACAACAGGCGTGGGCTTGACAACTATCTCCCCTCTTCCTGGACTGCAGGTCGTAAAGCTCTGTTCTTTGAACTTTCCCCTTAAATAAATAAATAAATATAATAAATATAATAATAATCTTTATTTCTATCCTGCCCTATCTATCTCCCTTCCCAAGGGGATTCAGGGCAGTTTGCAACAGATATCTGCAAGCATCTAATGTCGTGAAAAGTTGAACAAAAACAAAAAAATATTATTTACTTATTTATTTACGACATTTATATGCTGCCCTTCTCACCCCAAAGGGGACTCAAAGTGACTTACAAATTATATGTACATGCAACATATAATTAGCATAGCGCAATATTGGTATTGTATATTACTATATTGTACTATATCACTATACTGCAATATTATTAGTAATACTACATGTAATATAAAATATATAATTATTATATCCTATTGTATTATTGGTATTATATTGTATTACATTATAATATTATAATGTGTATATTTTAATATTATATGTGTATACAATGTGTTATATTATTAGCATTGCACAATATTAGTATTATATATTACTATATTGTACTATACCAGTATACTGCAATATTATTA